ACTTTAAGAACTTCATCCAAATATTTACATTTAAAAAAGACATTTAAAAAATAGGCTACTTATTAAGCGTGCTTGAACAAACCATGTGTGGAATTGAATTCCATTCATTTCGGAGTTAGTTTTCTGCTAAACACATACTAGTAGTATAGAAGACCCTGGCAGTTGAGGATTTAAGTTTTCAACTGTTCCCAATCGATGCTAAAAAAGAAAACGTGACAAGTGATTTCCGAGGCACAAATTTGAACCTCAGCACTGGAAAGGCTAGCGTGTAAGGCAAATTCCTTAGGAGTCAGAAGGGCTGGCACCTGTAACTCAGTGTGGCTTTGCCAGTAAGTTATTTTTTTAAAGATTCATTTATTCACCTGAGAGAGAGAGAGAGAGCACACAAGCCGGGGAGGGGCAGAAGGAGAGAGAACCGCCAGCAGACTCCCCGCTCAGCGTGGGGCCCAACACGGGGCTCCATCTTACGACCCTGAGATCACGACCTGAGCAGAAACCAAGACTCGGATGCTCAACTGACTGAGCCACCCAGGCACCCATTCCTTTCACTAATTTAAAGACTTTTCCTGCTGTGTTTAGTTTTTAGCAATTTTACCGTGGTGTGCTTTGGTGTGTGTGTGTGAGTTTCCCCGCTTGTTTTCATACTTATCCCGCTTGGAATTTATAACACATGTCAACACTGTGACTTGATGTCTGTTAGTTTTGAAAATTTTTCTTTAAACGTTGCTACCTCCTCCCCGTCCTTTCCATTTGCAACTCGAGTTACCTGGGTATTAGACCTCTCCTCTCGTCTCTGCGCCTCGACGCCGACCGCGTCCCTTTGCATCGCGCCCCAGCTTAGTGGTTCTGTGGGAGCCGTGTCCGTAATGCCGTTAGGTCTACCACCGGACTCTTAATTTCAGGTTTTGTATTTTTACATTCTTGAACTTCCATTTGGTTCTTTATTATTGCTTCCAGTTCTCTGCCCAGACTTTTTAATCTGTCTTTTAACTCCCTGAACATGTCACTTGAAGTCCGCGTCTAAGAGCTGCTCATCAGCTCTGTCTGGGTTTACTTCTGCTGTTTAGCATTTTCTTCATCTTTCCCTCATACTGTGTTTCTTCATCTGCCTGATTACCTTCTGGTGCCATACGTTGCATATTAAACATTTTGGAGGGGGCTGCTGGGTCACACAGCCGGTTAAGCGTCCAACTCTTGATTTCGGCTCAGCTTGTGATATCAGGTCCTGAGATCCAGCCCTGCCCTGGGCTCTGCACTGAGTGTGGAGTCTGCTTGGGATTCTCTCTCTTCGTCCCCCTCTGCCCACCCTCCGACGCGCGGACACACACTCTCTCTCAAAAAAAAAATTTTTTTTTTGGAGATATGCCAAAGTTCTGGACGATGTTCTTCTTCAGCGAAGACTTAGTCTCTGGCCAGCATCAAGGCGAGGGGCAACTCCAGAGCGCCTTGATCCCATCAAGCATTGAGTGACTTGCTGCTGGGCCTTCCATTCCCATGAGGGTTTTCATTTCCCAAAGAATGGAGTTCTTCAGGATTTCTACCCAATAGGGCTGCCAGATAAGATACAGGGCACTCATTTAAATTTGAATTTCAGATAAACAACGAATCCTTTTCTTGTGTGTACATCTCCAAAATAGCATTTTGTATTTTTATTAGCTCAATCTGGCAAGCCCAAACCCAAAGCCTTACTGAGGGCTCTGGGTTGCACACAGAGTTTTGTCCCCTTGGCGCTGTGGTCTGCCCAAGCCTTGCCCCGGCTGTTGGCCTCCCTCCCGTGGGTGTTGCCAAGTGAAGCCCCCTTCCGGGGCTGGGGCCACCCTCCTGCACTCCCCTACGGCTTTTCCACCCAGACGTTATGATAGAGTCATTCTGTCCATCTTTCTGTCGCAGTCGGTGGGAAGGCTGGGAGACGTGCGTCCTGAATCTTCCTGAGCTAACGCTAACCCTTCAGAATTCTGTGGACACTGATCACCGACTTGTAACATGCACTGTGGCTGTGAAATGTGAAGCATTTCAGCAGAGCCCGACTTGCTTTCTGTTTCTAGCTGGCTGCTTGAGGAGCTTTTGTTTTTTTAAGGTTCAACAACCTGGTTAGGATGTGCCCAGTGCCAGTAGTTTTGATTACCGGTATATTTTTTGTCACTCTTAAGATTTACTTCAGGAAATTTTTCTGTATTTTATCTCTAAATATTTTCCGCATTGCTGGTCCCTGCTTCCCAGAGTTTCCGCTCGTTTCATCCACGATCGCCATCCCCACTCCCCGCGATAGCGCGCCCTCCCTGCGTCTCCTCGTCTGCACCCACTCTCCATCCTGACTCTTCCCGTGTCTCTGACCCTGTCTCACTGAACCCCTCCGAGGCTCCTCCGTGACTCACGGAGCTGTCGGGGAGCGGGCTTCATGGCCTGTTTCCGTGGGGCCACCACGCCGTCGCCGTGCTGTCCGCTACAGTCTGTCCCGCCTGTCCCGCCGAGCGTGGTCAGCCCTGGGAGGCCTGGAGAACTCCAGGAGCACGCGAAGCAGTTCTGAACGTTCGCGAGCCTGCGAGCGCCCGAGCATTAGGCTGTTGAAAAGCCCTGTGGGGAGCGACGCGGAGGCCCGAGAGGCAACCGACCGAGCTCAGGCCCACGGGGTGGGGTGCAGGCGGCGTCCAGAGCTCGGCCTCCGCTCAGACGTCCCGCCGTGGCTGGTGTGCGGGGCCATAACAGCCTGAGGCTCCCTCTTCTGAGTCCCAGTGGGCTGGTGGGTGGAGACCCCCGCTTCAGCCTGGCCAGCCCAGCCTCCACACGGGGCTGCCTGAATGCTAGGGGGGCCTCCGGCTTTCGGGGAGGGGTCCTGGGGGGTGCATGGGACTTCTGTGCTGGAGGCCGTCTTCCTCACCACCCCTCAGGTTCCCTACTAGGTCCTCCAGCTGGTCCTCCGCAGCTGGCTCTCCGGGGGCCCCAGCTATGTCCCGGCTGGGGAAGGAGGGTCAGGAGGCCCCCGGCCCGCCGTCTGCTCTCAGCTCAGTTCTCATACCTCCTCCTCTGTTCTCTGCTGGTGGATTAATCCGGTGTGGCCTCGTTTGCAGATTTTAAAGATTTTATTTTTAAGCGATCTTTGCACCCAACATGGGGCTCAAACTTACAACCCTGAGGGTTTGTTTTTTTTTTAAGATTTTATTTATTTGAGAGAGAGAGAGAGAGAGAGCATGGGGTGGGGGGAGGAGGCGGAGAGGAGAAGAGGGAGAAGCAGGCGTCCCACCCAGCAGGGAGCCCGATGCGGGGCTCGATCCCAGGACTCTGGGATCACGACCTGAGCCGAAGGCAGCCGCTTAACCCACTGAGCCACCCAGGCGCCCCTGCCTTTGTGGATTTTAGAACATTTCTGGCCCTTGGTTGGGTGGGAAGGCATGTGGACCTGGAGATCCGGCGCACCTGGTGTGGGAGGCCCCAGTGGCTCTGGACGGCAGCTTGGAGGGGCCCCTGAGCCCCTCGGCCCCCCAGGACCGGCTGCGGAGGACCGAGCCGCCACCGTCATCCAGCGCGCCTTCCGGCAGCTCCTGGCCAGAAAGGAGCTGGCCCGCCGCCAGCGGGCGCACCAGGACCACCAGCGGCAGAGGGAGGTGAGGCCGGCCTGCGCGGCAGTGGGGGCAGCCAGGGCCCCCGGAACTGGGGCGGGGGCAGCGGGGCC